CTATGAGGCAGAAGTAGGGTGAGCATGATGGTGGGGCAGAAGGAAGGTCAAAAACAGGAATGATCGAGGAAGCAAAGCTGTGGATAGAGGTATAAGCATAGATGTGTCCATATGTAAATACATTAATCCATAAAAAGAGGTGTTGGCCTATGTACATATATTTATATGGCAATACAGTGAGGTAGTGGACTGACTTCGGGCCTCTGCTCATACCCTCCCTCAATACAAGAACACTTTGTTCTAACAAATTGGCAATCTGAGATGCTCACCCTCTTGGCACAATCGCTGAAGACAAAATGGGTACAAAGCAAATGTGGTGAAGAAGGCGGATGGTGCTTGGCTTTTAAAAGATGTAGCATCTGGGGTCTTGAAGGCTTGAAGTCAAACAAGTGGCCATCCAACAGAGAAACAACAAGCCCACATGGAAGAAGCAGACCAGGCTGTGTGATCATGAGGTGTCATCGGGACCCGGGAACAGCCATCAGAAGACCCTTAACAACCAACCAACCAACCAAACAAACAAAACCATAGTGTTGAGAATGAGGGGGGTTGGAGCAGAGACCTAAAGCCCATCTGAAGACAATGGAACATCCCCCACAGAAGGGTCACAGAGAAGGGATGAGTCAACCAGGGTGCAGTAAAGCACCAATGAAACACACAATATTCCTCTGGCTCCTTGAGGCTTCCTCACCACCCCCACCTCCCCCCACCATGACCCCAGTGATGCCTCTCACTTCGGACTAGACCGGAGCATCTCCACCCAGAGCACCTCCACTACCTCCACCTCCACCTCCACCTCCACGCCATTCCTGTTGGCTCCTTGAGGCTTCCTCACCACCCCCACCCCCCCCCACCATGACCCCAGTGATGCCTCTCACTTCGGACTAGACCGGAGCATGTACACAGCCGTAGCTAAGAGCTCATGACACACTCAACCCAGTAGCAGGAGTGGGAATAGTGATACCAGAAGGGTAGTGTATTAGTCTAGGTACTTTAGAGAAACAAATCCACAGAAACTCATGTATGAGAGAGTTTTATATTAAGGTTAAGTGCGCACCAAGAAAACATCCCAATTCAGTGTTGCCCAAGCCCACAAATCCAACATTAACCCGTATGGCCAACACCAGTCCACAAAGTCCTCCATCTCACAAAACAGAGCAACGATGCCAACTGCAGGAGGAAAGCAGAGTCAGTGAATGTGTAAACATCTCAGCGCTGGCAGGGGTCTCCACACGGGTGCTCCAGCACCCAGGGCTGCATCAGGGTAGATCCATGTGGCTTTTCCTTGGGGATGTCTTGCAGGAAGTCAGCCTTGCAAGCTGAAGCTGGGAACTGCTAAGGCAGCTTCACCCTGGTCCGACCATCACAAAGCAAGAGACCCGAGAACTCGAAAGGCGAGGCTTACCAAGCCATTTATCCCTCCACCCTTCAATTAGCCCCACATGTGTTTATGGGCCAGGTTGGCACAATAAACTAACTCAGGTAGGGAGAAGGGCGGGGGAGGAGGGAAGAAAGGGGAACTGATCACAGTGATTGATACACAACCACACCCCTCCTCTAGGGGGAAGAACAGTGGAAACCATGGGGAAGGGAGACAGTGGTCGGTGTGAGATATGAAAATAATAATAATTTATAATCTGTCAAGGGATCATGAGGGGGAGGGGGGAAATAGGAGCTGACACCAAGGGCTCAATAGAAAGTAATTGTCTAGAAAAGAATGATGGCAACATATGTACAAATATGTGTGATACAATTGATGTATGGATTGTAATAAGAAATGTAAGAGCCCTCAATAAAATAATCACGAAAAATAGAAATAACACATGCAGGTAGTTTTAATGACCAGACATTTATTTTCTCATAGTTCAAGAAGCCAGAAGTCCAAAGTCCAGGGGGCTGGCTCTAGGGGAAGGCTCTCTCTGTACACTCCTGGGAGAATTCCTTGTCTCTTGCCACCTCTTTTCTATGATTCCTTGGTGATATCTGTGAGGTATCCATGCTTCCCTGTGTGTGTGCTTCCTGGCTCTGTGTCTGTTTTGCTCCTTTTGTATCTCAGACACCAATTGGGTGAAGACACCCCCTGTGCTGACAGGGCCTCATGAACATGACCAAGAATACCCTGCTGGCCAATGACATAACAGCCACCAGCGTGTTGGTCTGGTGCCACTGAGACCCTGTGCACACCAGAATGAACCACTGCCGCACCCTGTGACACCTTAATCATTGTTCCAATGCGTGAGCCCATCGCTGCAGTCACCGTGCCTGTCCATCTTGTCCAGAGACTTCCTCTTTGTCACTGCATGTTGTCCTTCTCCGGGAACTGGTCTCTCCTGACACCATGTCTACCAGGATAGGGCTTAGAATTTACAACACAGGTTTTGCGGGGACACAATTCAATCCAAAGCAGTAGGTGAACGAACAGAAAAAATGTTCTTTTTCTTACTTTCACCTCTTTTCCCTTTTAATCTGGTCCTTTTATTTCTGATGTCACAAGGAGGTTCGTGGTAAGATTTCACATAGGTTTCTGATGACGTTATCTTTCTAGCCATCCTAGTCCAAAATACTGACACTCTTGCATCTGTAAGGAGCCCTCCTGGGGGATGAGTTATGCATTACTTTGAACCTACCAGCTGCTCCGAGGAAGGAAGCGGCTGGCTGCTTCTGGAAAGGTTTTCAGCCTTGGAAACCCTCAGGAGTCCTTCTGCTTTGTCCTATGGGGCTGCTGGGAGTTGGAATGAACCCCAGGGCATTGGGCTGGGTTGGGTTTGCACGGCTGTGATTGTGGCCATATTTGACATGGATTATTCATCCTGGTGCTCTAGAAACTGTCTTGAGCACGTTGAACAAGAGAGTTGGATTGGTATCACTTGCCTTTTTTTTCTTCAAAGGAGGAATTGTTGATGGAACCTTTATGATTTCACTCAGGTTAGAGAAAACGGACCTTGCATAAAAACACCTTCATAACTCAACTGTTTTAAACCGGTTCCCATGGAGCTCAGAGAAAATATTTGGTAAATGAAGAAAAATTAAAACAAAAAGGAGAACTTCTATTGAAGTATATCAAATCATTATTTTGCTGCCATTCAACCTTGAAATATTAAAACCACACCAGAAAACCAATTTTGATCAGATTCAAGGAACTGATTGGAGGCTCTCCTTCATACCAACATTTCAACAGATGAAGGGAGGTTCATGTCATTAAATGCTTTATTGCACTCCTATATTAAGTGATCGCCTAACTTAAACAATACCCTTTATTGAACTTAAAAAAAAATGACCATTTTTGCAACAGATAACCTACCTAGCCTTTTCCAGAAAAGCTTAGTACAGAAATCCTAGAACTTCAGTGAGTGAGGGGCATGATTTGCTGTCGACCCACCCAAGGTTTCTGTTTTGTTGGGGGTGGTGTGGCGGGGGGAGGCTTCAGCAAATGATGCCCTCTTCTCGTTGGATTTGAGTAGCTCTCTCATTTACTAGAGAAAGGAACATTTTGCTTTTTATTGGCAAATCCAATTTATCTGCAGGTATATTTACCTGGATGATCAAAGAAGCAGAAAATCTTTTATGCACGCATATTTGTAAATAGCACATCATCGTACTGAGTTTTCAATGGCCCTCTCATGAGAAACTGGAGTCTCTGAAAAGAGGAAAGCTGAAGGCTAAAGAAAGGACCGGTTTTACAGCACATACCCAGCTGTGCTCAGTCCACTGTGAGCGGAGCATTGGACCATTGATTTTATTAAGGTGTGGTTAAGCAATAAAGACAAGATTAATTGTCGCTTTGTCAGCATTGGGTGTCTTTTTAGCCATTTTCACTTGGACTGGAACGTTTCCTCTGACTTTAGAAGACCAATAGCCTCGTGTTCCAATGTTTTTCTCTTATCTCACAGCTCACCAGCATCACGTTTTCCCACCATCCGGATACAGCCCACTTTCGACAACTCGACCCGGACGACATCCGCAGGGTCCTTTTCCTTGTATCCTTTGTTAGGATCTGCTTTAAGGAGTCGCAACCTCTCACTGGATGGAGGAGGATGATGCCAATGGTAGGCCTTCTTGTCGCTGGACAGTGGTATTCACTGGAAGCCATTTAAGCCCTCTCTCTAAAACTCAAGTTTTCTCATAGAAATCACCGTTGTCAAATAATTTTCTTTGAAAACATTACAGTGTTTATTGTGGCTAAAGTGAAAGTTCACATGGCGAGTGGGCTTTTCATTCAACATTTCCTACACATTTGATTCATGACATTGACGACACTCCCTACAATGTAACCACACTCTCCTTACTGCCTCCTTGTGTTCACCATTTCCACACATCCTTTCCTGCCTTCCAAGCTTTCCAAAACAAACTCAAGGTCATCGACTTGATTGCAAATCAAGTGCACTCACTGTACAGTAAGACTAAAGGAAAGAGTAGAGCCAGCCCTGTGGGTTTCCGAGACTGCAGATCTTACAGGAGTAGAAAGCTTCATCTTTCTCTCAAGGAGCAGCTGGTGGTTAGTGCCTAGCTCCTAAGGAGTCCTGGTGGTGTTCCTTAGCCCTCACTCTTAACCAAAGGGTTTGTAGTTCAAATCTACTATCTGCTCAGCAGAGAAAAGGTCTGGTTATCTGCTCCCACAATGATGTACAGCCGTAGAAACCCTATGGGACAGTTCTACTCTGTCACGTAGGATCACTATGCGTCAGAATCAACTCAATAGCACCTAACACCGACAAGTTCCTGATACACAAGAGAATTAGACTTGTACTCACTGGTTGACACATTTAAAAAACCCCAAACACAAGAAGATTCCCTGCCATGGAGTCAATGCTGACTCATATTCAACTCCATGTGGGTTTCCAATACTGTAACTATTTATGGGAATAGAAAGCCTAGTCTTTCTTCTGAGGAGCTGTTGGTGGTTTTGAACTGCAGGCCGTGAGGATCATAACCCAATGCATAACCACTACACCACCAGGGCTCCTCACATCCTAGGCCTGTGATTCTCAACCTTCCTAATGCTGCGACCCTTTAATACAGTTCCTCATGTTGTGGTGACCCCCTAACCATAAAATTATTGCCACTTCATAACTCTTATTTTGCTACTGATAAGAATCAGGCGACCCCTGTGAAAGGGTTGTTTGACTCCCAAAGGGGTCGCAACCCACACGTTGAGAACCACTGTCCTAGACAATAAATAGTGAATGGATGGATTCGTTTGATATCCAACCCACCAATTCAAATGACACTGGACATTTTTCCACAGAAAGATTTTATGTTTCATATTTCCTCTTAAAGGGTGCATATTATTTTTGTCTGTATTTATAACAATAAAATATTTAACAATCACTGAGCCCTCTCAATAGGCCAGGTGTTCTGTTACCTACTTTACTAGTGAGCAGTGAGTTCTTGGACTCCAAAAAACTGCATCTTAGGTCTCTGGGGTCCTTCCAAAGCTCCTGGCACATGGTTAATAGATAGTGGACACAATCAGCACATATGAATGGAACCCATCTTTCGTCATTCAACAGGGCATGTTCTCCTTGTGAAATAAGTCTTGAGCAACCAGAACACATACAGTAGTCCAACTCCCTGGTGGTAGAGAAGAGGGGACTGGGATCCATTCAATTGTGCCCATAGTTACTAGTGGCTCAGTGAGCATGAGCCCCAGGACCCATTGTTCTTAGTATATTTATTAATTCTTTAATTACATCACTTGGTTCTTTCAAAATTCATACCCAAGGAGATGTAAGAGATCAGTGATTTAGAACAACTTGTCAGGAGATGTAAATGTTATGAAGCAAATGGCCCTTAGTTAGAATAGCTTATGATTTGTACACAAAAAAATAAGTAACTTGCTCTCAATACTGTTATGTTCAGAATTTTTCTTAACTATATGTAGGTCTTCTTCTTTGTGACAGCATTTTTTGGAACTGGAAATGTAGCTTCTGTTAACAGGTAATTTTAAATGAAAATCTCATATATATCTATATACACGACTACCACATTTACACCGTCGCATCTGTACAGCAAACCATGTTTTTCTTCTCGCCTTTCCTTTCCCCTCTCATGCTCTAAAAGAAACATTTCCAGTACTTTGAAAATGTGTGTCTGTGTACTCTATTAGAAATTAAACATTTATATCCATACTATAATTTAAAAATTATACTATCATTTGTTTTTAATATCAAATAATACATTTCAAGATCATTGTACAGGTCTACCCTAGTCTTTCTGTAAATAATATTTCTCAATATCAATGTACTGTAAATTAAATCATTACTGGTAGAAATTTACATTTTTTAGAGTTTTGAGGTTTTATATGCTGATCCCTGAGAATACTCTATATATTAACAAAATGGTCCTGCCCTAATTGGTATCACAAACTGTCATTTTTATTTTGGCTTTATTTAGAGTATGTCATAAGGAATTTTAAAAGATCCTACTCACTTTTTGCATGTGTGTTTTATTTTTGTCCACCTTGAGGGCATCCCTGTACATAGGATTATTCAATTGTGGTTGGTAGGCATTGGATTATTAAATTGTGGTTGGCACAGGATTATTAAATTGTGGTTGGTAGGCGTTGTTGAGTTAGTGCTTCTCATTGTGGCCCTCTGTATCAGAGACCGAAACACTGCCTAGTCCTGCGCCATCCTTACCATCACGACTGCACTTTAGCCCATTGCTGCAGCTACTGTGTCAATCAATCTTGCCAAAGGGCTTCCTCTTTTTCACTGTCCCTTAGCTTTAGCAAACATAACGTCCTTTACCAGGGGCTTCCCTCTCCTGGCAACATGCCCAAAGCACAAGAATACAAAATCCTGCCAACTTCACTTTTCCCCAAGCAATCAAACACAATTTATTTTAAAACGAGGGTCGATTGCATAAAATAAAATTTTAGCCAAAACTTTCCTGATAGACATCTTCTCTCCAGGCTGCACGCTCTTGATCAATCAAATCAGTAATCTTCCCAATATTCACAAATGATGTCATTTGATTGAAGAGTCAAGTCTGAACCCAGCCATCTTTCCATTCTTTGTCATTCTAAGAATGTTCTAACAATTTTCAAGACACAATTACTTTGTGTCCATAATTGTTCCATTAAAATTTTTCTTCTACATTTTAGTGCAAGAAAATCTTTATGCATACTTATTTCCAAAAAGAACTCACCCATTTCCCCCAGTTTTCTGTGGAGAGAAAAACCAGACGAACCCAGGCAGTTAACAGCTAACAGCGTCTCTCCTACGTGGGCTTCCTCTGCTTTAGTGACCAGACCAGAGATGCCTTCGTTGTGGTTACAAGATAATGGCGTCAATATCCTTTCTTCCCTCTGAATCTTGATCTGGTATCCAACATTGACCTTTTACATTCCAAAAATGAGTATTGCAATGCTCTACAGTTTCCTTGCTTCAAACACTGCCGCGGAGTTTTTCCTTCCTGGAGCTCACAGTCCGACTGCAGCAGACAGGGGGCCAGGTCCTTATGCGCCGCCCTCGGCTTGTCTTCATAATATCGGGGCATGACGAAGACTGCCTGTCGCCCACTCGGGATTGCCACCCTTTGTGCGGCAACAAGTGCTACTTCGCGCGCCGTAAGAGACGCCCGAGACAGAAGGAACCCCAACTTCACTTTTAAGGAACATTGTGGACATGCTTTACCCAAAACAGACGTGTTTATTTTTCTTCTCGCAGGCCAATTGCACATTCAGCATCCTTCACCAACACCATACTGTAAATACATTGATTCTACTGAGGGCTTCCTTATTCAGCTTTTACCTGCATCTGAGGTTACTGAAAAATACTACCGCCCTGGATCAGGTGCATCTTAGTCCTCAAAGTGACAGCTTTGCTCTTTCACACTTTAAAGGTCTTTTCAGCATATTTGCCCACTGAGATGCATTGATTTCTTGACTGCTGCTTCCATGGGCATTGATTGTAGAGCCAAGTAAAATGAAGTCCTTGCCCACTTCAGCCTTTTCTCCGTGTATCGTGATGTCGCTGACTGGTCCAGTTGTGAGGATTTCGGTTTTCTTTAAATCGAGATGTAATCCATATTGAAAGTTGTAGTCTTTGATCTTCCCCAGCAAATGCTTCAAGTCCTCATCAGTTTCAGTAAGCAAGGTTGGATCCTCATGCAATCCAATTTCTTAGATTATTTGCTAAGCACACCATTTGAATAAGTGTGGGGAAAGGACATGCTCTTGATGCACCCTTTCCCTGCTTTTAAACTATACAGCATGCTCTCATTCTGTTCATATGACTACTCTTGGTCTTTGTACAAGTTCCAAATGAGCACAATTAACTGCTTCAGAATTCCTGTTTTAAAAACTATGATCCATAATTTGTATTGATCCCCACAGTTGAATGCCTTTGCATAGTCAATAAAATACAGGTAAACATCTTTGTGGTATTCTCTGCTTTTAGCCAAGACTTATCTGATTTCAGCAATGATAACCCTCATGCCACATATTCTTCTGAATATGATTTGAATTTTAGCAGTTCCCTGTCAGTGTATTGCTGCAACAGTTTTTCGGATGATCTTTTCTTGTGTATGGTATGAGTGATATTTTTTTATAATCTCTGTGTTCTGTTGCATTACATTTTTTGGAATGGATATAAATATGAATCCCTTCCAGTTGGTTGGCCAAGTAGGTATCACCCAAATTTCTCGGCATAGACACATGTATGCTTCCAGAGTTACAATCATTTGTTGAAAAATCTCAATTGGTATTTGTTACTTGAACCTTTTTATTTTGGTCACTGCTGTGCACCATAGACGTCTTTCTTTACTATCATTGGTTCTTGATCATATGCTAACTCCTGAAATAGTTGGACATTGACTGTGTATTTCTCATATTTTCTTTTGGTGCTTCTTATATTGTTCAGTAATTTGCCCATAGAATCCTTAATTATTGTAGCTCAAGGCTTGTTTATTATTCTTATCATTCTTTCAACTTGAGAAATGTTGAGCATGTTTTTCTCTTTTGGTTTTCTAAATCCAGGTGGTTGCACATATAAAACTTTATCTCTCGAGCTGCCCTTTGGAATCTGCTGTTCAGCTCCTTTACTGCATCGTTTCTTCTATCCACTTCAGCTACTCTACTCTAAAGAGCAGGTTGCCAGTGTCTTGTTGTACTTGGATTGTTAACTACACACAGACACACTAATGTGTGCACGTGCGTGCTCTCTCTCTCTGCTTTGGTGTTTTCATTTTCATGTGGCCTTTTGTGATATTGGAACTCATGTTGGCATCAGAAGTGAAGCCCAGCTGCGGTTTTTATGTGCTTCTTATTAATGGTTGTGTCACTACTTTTTTAATAACCCTTCTTTTGCACACACTTAATATATTACTTTTATCAAATGTTGAATGTCAATTGACATTTGGGCCAGTTCTGTTTCATTTTATTTCTTGAGAGTTTTTTTTTAATGTGTATGGATCAAAGTACTATATGTAAAATTTACAGAAAAGAAAGTATAATTTTGAAAGTGGAAATTTTGTCTAGTGTGGCCAATAAATTATGCAATATCAATTTGGGTGTATGAATGGTTTCTAAAAAATTGTGTGTTCCGTGGACTTCTCAGGAAAGTATATATACTTGTGTTTCAGTAAGAATAGAATTGGGGAAATTAGATTAAACATTCTGTTTAGCTCAACCATCTTTTGAAGTTACAATATGAATGTTAACATACTTTTTCTTTGTTTCATGATTTCTTAGCTTTGGTTCTTCTTATGTCCATTGCTTTTTGACCAAGTCTAAGACTTTTATCGCAGGACCCTTGATAATATGGAAGGTTAGTTTTCTTATTTTTATTAATTTACCAATTATTAAGTTTATGAGCACTGTGACATAACTCAGAGTTAAGTAGCAATGGGCAACAATGCACCCCCCGGACTTGCAATCGATATCCCCTGCTGAACTGGAGGTAGGACTCTCTAGCCCTTATCCCCAATACAATTCGTCTGTACTCTTAAACTTTCAGCTGTCAGTAGAGCGCAGTCCTGGAGATTCGTGTCTTAGTCCCTGCTGGTCTTAGAAAGTCTTGTCAAAGATTATGAAAGCCAGAAGGGCAGCAGTGAACCAAATGACAGTGTCCAGCATGTTCGAAGATTCCCTGAGCTCTCTCCCTACCCACCAGCCAGCCAGCATGGCTGCCCTGACCAGATGCACTGCCATCCCGTCGATGCTGACTCACAGCAACCTCACTGTGGGTTTCCAAGACTGTAACTTGACAGGAGTAGAAAGCCCAGTCTTTCTCCCAAGTAGCTGCTGGTGGTTTCAAACTGCCGACCAGGCTGATCGGAGCCAGTGCATAGCCACTACCCACCAGAACTCCTATCCAGCATGGCATCAGCTCCCAATCAGTTCTCATAATCCATGCTCCTTGATTTGATTAATTTACTCAACAAATGATGTACTAGGTACCATGCTGGGTGCTTTAGATGACAAGATGGTCTGCCTTACTCTTAGCTTTCCAGAGCTTCAAAGTGACATTCCTTGCCTTCTTCTCTAGTGCCATTATGTTGGTCTTATTCCTCCCACCCTCCTCCTCCTCCCACATGGATATCATGTCTACTACCACAGTGCCTCGCACAATCAATTAGATTCAGTTGTGCACACTTGTATTTATTTGTCTTAGTAAAGTAACTGCTACCTCTATAAAACATTCTGTCCAAATCACACATGTTATTATAGTTAAATAGTATATCTAATCTATTTCTTGTTTCTGAACTACTAAAAATGAAAGCTTAAGAAATAGCAGGAAGATGAAATAGATATGTATGAATTGTTGAATAGAAAACTGATTTGCTCTGTAAACTTCCATCTAAACTCACAATAAAAGAGTTAAAGAAAGAAAGAAATGCCAGAAAGATGTTCAACATTTTTCAATGTTCTGTTCTGTATTGGATTTTAAAACAGGTTATTGTTTTCTTAATTTTCATTCATAGTTGTTTTTGTTTTAAATAGTAGATGTTGATCTACTATTTA